GCCATAGATAGGTGCTGTCGCTTGCCGAAAGGAAAAAATCTGGCTGGCGCCGCGCCAAATGCAGCCACGCCGAACACGCCCCAGCATCCGCAGCGAACAAGATTGTCGTCATTAATTATATCACTGAACTATGGCACTTTATACTATTTTCACGATCCATAATGATATTTGATTTTCAGGGATGTTTCTTCGCTATGCGACGCGGAGGAAGTGGCGCAGATTTTCGAACTAGCGGTAAAGGCACTAGGAGTGAGATCATCACTTCTCTTATTGGGAAGGACTGTGGTAAAGTAAGTGACATTACTGAAGTAGATCTACCTCCGAAATCTGAAGAGTTTTGCTTGAACCTTTGCCTATATTTTTTATAGTTTTTTTTATTTTACAACTGCATAACGCCGTAGTGCGCGCTGCAAAAGTTATCACAGGAGTGCAAGGCTACGGGGAAAACTCGGACTTTGGACGGGATTGGAACTCGCACCTCCCGCTCAGTAGAACGGTTGCGGTTATGCTCTCCACGCTACGGCGCCAACTCTTACCCTCTAAGCTCAATGGCTTGGATCGTTCATGATGAATTCGATCCTTTTTTTGCACTTTTTTTTGCATATCTTTTTGTCCTTTAGGACATGATCGACTTTACTCATATTTCGCAAAGGCTGCATTATAGCGCTGAAGTATCTTTGACGCCACCGGTGTCTTCGTCTACAGCACGAAGTGTGCAGGCAAAAAAGGTGGGTTTTTGGTCTGACGAAGGCTCACGTATTCTGACTCTGATTTTTTTTTCAGAATTGCCAGAAATGTTTTTTACGCTTAGTTTCATAAACGGTCGCCTTGTTCAATGTGTACCTCTCAAATATGCAGTGGATTCGCTATTTGCCAGTCAAGACCTAGTGTCCACATTCGCCCTCATAGCATTATCGGTATGCTGCGTTTCATAGACGTTATTACGACTAACTTTCAAGCTTTTACTCTTTCCTTTTTCTTCTTTACTTGTTTTGTGAACATGGGGAGGAACAGAGGAGCGCTCATGACGCTCGCTCATGGCAGTACCAAAGTTCTTCGGGTGGGTTGTGCATAGAAGAGTGTCTCTTTTGTTGCAGATCGATCCATCGCGGATTGATGTCAATGTGCATCCCACTAAGCAGACTGTGATGTTTTTAGAGGAAGAAGCGATTATCGACGACTTGTTAAAGGTTTGTACTTAAGCAGCACTAATTCAATTGTTTTTACTACTACCTACTATCTGTATTTTAACTAGTTAGTGAGGAGGAGGGACGTGTGGAATCAACGAGGATCAGACACACTCTGGCTAAGTCGGTTAAAGCATAGCGTTACTCAACCTCTTCGCTCTTGCCTAGCCTGTCGCCCTATATCCCAGCGAGTCTTTGCCTCTCGCTTGGGTCAGAGAGGACCTCATTCAGCAGGTTTATGACGATTTCGGTCACTCATTTATCACGAACCTTTTTCTCTTTGAAATCCGCTACTATCGACGTTTTTGATGGCTAATCGCGAAATGTGCCCTGGTGGAAACAGTCTTCTAGAATTTGTTTCGCCACACTTCAGCCCGATACTTTTGAAAAATCCAATTTTCAGGCTTTCCACAAGAGGCTTGGTAACGTCTTCGAGCGAGAATTGGCACCAAGTACCAGTAACTCCAACCGCAGTTTATTTACGGCGACACAGATCCTGAAAATACCTGGTCAAACTCAGTCTACTGAAGTAGGTAGCTTTCATTAATATTGTCTTCGCTATAAAGTCTTGTTTGCTACAGATGCTGGAGCGTGTTAGGAACTGGGTTTTGTGCGGTGCCAGCCTATTCTCTACCAGCTGTCAAAGGGGCCAAGCGAAAGAATGGTCTAAATCGTGTTGGCGCCACGCCAAACCCGACTTCCCTGACTGTAATGATGCCAGTAGGGTGGCAGGCTTGGTGGTGAGCTGTGAGCATTAAGCCGAGCAATCGCAGAGTCCATCCTGGAAACGTCGAACCTTACCACTGAACCACCACGACTCGATTCGACGTATGCGATTCCTCGCTTATGCTTCACAGCTCACCACCAAGCCTCCACCCTACTGCACCATTACAAACTTTACCTGCTCATAAGTTGCTTGTGAAATGCAGGTTGCAGTTTTGCTATCTATATTTAAATAACCTTATAGACTCTATCGATCTACCCAGGTCTCCATTCAAAGTTCCATGGTAA